ACTATACATTTACGCACACATCACCGCCGCAGCTCTCACCTGGTACTGTTGGCCGAGTATGGTTTCGCCCGTCTTCTCGTCTGCCTGCATGATGCTGTGCAGGTAGGCTGTCATGTAGCTGCTGCGCACCTCCGTCTCTCCACACTGGATGTACTCCAGCAGTGCGTCGTGCGTGAAGATGTACTGCTCCTACAACACACGCGCGCGGACACTGTCAGCAAGTGGCAGCAGAGAGGACGAGCTTTAAGGTGGTGGAGGAGGAATCCCTGTGAGAACTAGGGTTGGGGAGGGGTGAGGTGAGGTGGGGGGGAATCATTGATGAGGATGCTCAGGAATAAATCTTAAGCTTAAAGATGTTAAATTAGGGAAGCTTCAAACTAGAGGATGATTCAAATTTAAGGATAAATTATGTTCAACTGATTTTATGCAAGATTATGGATAAACTAAGATTACAGATAATCCAAAGTTATGGACAATCTAAACCTATAATTCAAATTCAAATTCAATTAAGCTAACAAATAATCTAAAGTCAAGGATCCAACCTAAGCCAAGCCTCAATAAAACTCAAGCCTAAGGATGATCCAAGCTTTGGTATATTCGAAGTTTAGAGACACCACAAGGTTAGGGATAAATCATAATACAAAATTAAGAATTATCTAATAGTTCTTCAATGTTTTCCACACAAACTAAGCTAAGCTTCTTAACGATGTACACTTTTACTCATGGCAAAAGGGTATGTATCACGAGCTAAGGACAGCCTAGCTCTAGTACTATAGCCCGCGTACAGTTGCCGCAGGCCTGCTATAGTACTAGAGCTAAGGACAGCCCTGCCACTGCTGTAAGCACTGGGTGGCGTTCACCAGGGGGCGCCGGCGTAGCGTCACGACCTACCTCAGTCTGCACCAGGTAGTTTCGCTGCTGCCTGATGTGCTTGAGGAAGGCGAACACGTTAACGGTGTTCTTGTGTTTAATCTGTCGCATCATGCTGTCCAGCACGCAGTACGTGCCAGTCCGGCCCACACCCGCACTGTAACACACGAACACACGGCGGTGTTACATACATGGTCCGGCCCACACCCGCACTGTAACACACGAACACACGGCGGTGTTACATACATGGTCCGGCCCACACCCGCACTGTAACACACAAACACACGGCGGTGTTACATACATGGTCCGGCCCACACCCGCACTGTAACACACAAACACACGGCGGTGTTACATACATGGTCCGGCCCACACCCGCACTGTAACACACGAACACACGGCGGTGTTACATACATGGTCCGGCCCACACCCGCACTGTAACACACATACACACGGCGGTGTTACATACATGGTCCGGCCCACACCTGCACTGTAACAAACATACACACGGCGGTGTTACATACATGGTCCGGCCCACACCCGCACTGTAACAAACATACACACGGCGGTGTTACATACATGGTCCTGCCCACACCCGCACTGTTATAGTTATCTATATCCTCAAGAGCATATAAAGAAGGCCTTTTTATATGCTCTTGATATCATGCTGCCAAGCACACAGTATGTGCCCAACATACTCACACCCACACTGTAATGTAATAAATAGTTCGTACATATAGTTCTGCCTACTGCTGCGCTGTAATACGCAGGATTGCATGCACGCACACAAACGCACCCATGCACACACGCACACAAACGCACCCATGCACACACGCACACAAACGCACCCATGCACACACGCACACAAACGCACCCATGCACACACGCACACAAACGCACCCATGCACACACACACGCATACACACA